CCTCTCCCCTTCTTCCCAGCCTCAGCCGCGCCACCCCACCCCCTCCCGCATTCCCCACGCCCTCGGCACCTGCTGGCTGGGACCTGGTGTGCCAGGGTCTGCGTAGAGGGTCCAGGGAGGTTGCCCACTGAGCCTCTCCCTGCTTGATCTCACCGCCGTGGGCTCACCCTGACTGGGGAGGGGAGGGCGGGGGTGGTTCGTGCAAGACTGTGGCTGGGATTAGGGGGTGAGGAAAGCAGAACACAGAGGGAGCAGGAGCCAATGCATGCGAGGGGGGCACTGGCGGGGGCGTTGGGGCCTGCCATTCTGAGGAGAGGAGGCACCAGTGTGGGGAGACGCAGGCAGAGCAGGTGCTTCGCTCTGAGTGGGGCGGGGGAGGGGGTGCCGCCCCTGCCGGCTGGAAACGGAGCACCCACTCCTCCATGGCTGGGCACCTGTGCTCTGGAGCCCTGCCCCCTCCCCAGAGGGAGCACAGGCCCTGGAAGTCCACCTCGGGGCCGCCTCCTCCCCTCCCCCGTCCCCCCCAGGGATCAGGGGGGCCTCCATCTGGCTGGCCCACTGCCCTGGCCGGCCCTCCAGCCTGGGGCCTCAGCAAGGCGAGAGCCAGGAGCTTGCACTGTCCAAAGTTTGAGGCAGATCTTGCTGCAGCTCAGACTTTCTGAGAACAGGCTCCCGGGGCGCCGGCCCCTTGGGGAAAGACTGGGAGCCTCTGGGGCAGAGGGAGGTGGGTAGCAGCAATGACGGTGACCCACTCTGGGTTTCTGGGAAAGTAATGGCCTAGACTTCCGGTAACATGCGCTGGGGCAGAAGGAAACATCCTGCAGGGTGTGCAGACCCCGGGGCTCCACCGGCAGGCCCCTCTGTGGATGCTCCCGAGCCCCCCACACCCGCCTCGGTCCCTCCCAGGAGGAAGGGATCTGGGTCCAGCCACAGGCTGCCATAGGGCAGATGGAGCGTGTTGGGGGGAGGGCAGGAGTGCAGTAGCCACTGGCTGCCCTCCGGGTGGGGGGCAGGCTGCCATCAGCTCCCCCTACAAGATGGAGCAGAGGCTGTAAAGCTCCTCCTGGAGGAGGCAGGCCAGGCTGGGGCCCCTCTGACAGTGCTGGGCCTCTCCTCTTAGCCTAGATGCCCCCCATTTCCCTGCCTCATATGTGGGTCTGCTACCTCCCAGGTGGGATGTGAGCTCCCATGGAAGATGGGCTGACTGTGCCAGGGGCCAGCCTGGGCAGGGCTGAGAGGCACAGGCCGGACTCACTGGCATGAAGTGCCGGAGCACTGAGGCCCAGCTCTGTGCCCAGGCCCCTGGGAGGCTCTGCCCACCTCTCCACGGAGCTGTGGGCAGGTGGGTTTCCTGACGCTGGGGAGGAGATGCTGGACTGTTTGGGGCAGGCGAGTGGCAGGATTCGGAGAACCCGCTGTGTGCCAGTCACTGTGGCAGCATCGTGCACACCGCAGCGTGCTGGCTCTGCTCAGAGGAATTGTGTTGTATAGGAGCCACCTATTGCGGGAAGCCAGGCTCAGAGGAGTGGCATGGCTTACCCAGGGTTGCTTGGGCAATGCGTGTGGGTATACTGGGAAGGGGGTGGAGGGACCACGGTGTGTTCCCTGTGCCACATGGGTGTGTTGGGCAGTTCCTTCCTGGTGGGAGCTGAGTCAGCCCCAGCATTGGTTCAGGGTCAGTTCCACAGAGCCCCTCCCCGCCATTGAACCCCCCATCTACTGGGGGAGGGGTCCCAGCGACAGTTTTTCCACGAATGTGTAATTTCGGTGACTAAAATTGCAACTCCTGAGTAACGGCTCTTGTGGAATTATGTGCTAAGAGGCAGATGCGGTAATAGAGGCCTGGTTTTGTCCTGCATGGCTCTTGAGTCTAACCCAGGAGGTGGGGTGTTTGGAGGGTGGCGTGGGGGTGGTGGTGAGAGTCTGCTCTGCCCACTTTGGGTTCTGGGCGGCCTGGGCACCTGGCAGCAGCCTCGGAGGAGCCCTGAGCAGCTGAGAGCCTCATGAAGACAAGGCGGGGATCTGGTTTAGAAGGAGAGGCCCGCTCAGCCACAGCGGGCGTGGAAACCCAGACCCTAGATATAATACTTGAGCCCCCGGGCCCACCGACACGGTGAACAGAGCACCTTGGGGAGCTCCTTCTCCCCACAGTGCCCGTTGGGGCCCACGTAGAATGGGCTCAGAGCCCCTTGGGTATTTCTTTAAACGTGAGTGTAGGAGGCTCCCCTCTTACAGGAGTGGGCCTTTGGCAGCCCTGAGTCTGAAGGACCCTCCTCCCAGGCGGGCACCCCTGGGAAGTGTGGGCTCTCCCAACCTGGCAACGCCCTCCTGACTGAGCTCGGAGCTCTGCCTCAGGGACCCCTTTGTCTGGAAATGCAGTTGTCCCCAAACATCATGCTTTTGCCCTTTTGGAATAGAGTTTTTGTCACATGCTTCACACCAGGACGCAGCACACGGCAAGGGTGCTTAGCGCCAGGAGCAACAATCCTGCAAAACGCAGAAAAGCCTCTCTCCCCTCCTGGCGAGGGATTCGGTGAGGAATTCTCCCGCTGGCTCCTGTGGCTCCTGAGCTGCGGGGCCTCCTGGTCCTCGGCTCCAGGGTTCCTCTTGCCTCCTTGTCGGCATGCTTCGGAACTTTCTCCTTTCCCTCAGTGCTCTGTAGGTCAACTCTGACCCTATGTTATACTTCCTTCATTCTGGTCCCCACAGGTTTGTGCTTTCGAGCAGGACTCTTGTCTTTGGTCAGTTCCACAGGGGCCCAGCCATCCTCTGAATGATGGGTCTGTGCCCTCCTCCAAGGGCTCAGAGCCCTCTGCCCTCTGCCCCCTCCTCCTCTCTGCACCGCATCCTGAAGAACTCCCTCCACTCCTCTTCCGGTTCCCTGATTCTCTCTTCAACTGTATCCAGACCATAATACACTTTTTTCTCCCCAAAACAATGATTTTTCCGCACCCAAGAGTTGCCATTTTCAAAAACATACACTTGCTCATTTACTTCTTAAACAGAAGCCACACTTGTTACACAATATTTTTATCCGTGCCTTATTGGGGATCCTAAACATATTGAACGTGTTCTGGACATGATCACTAAGTCACAGTGTTATTATTTCATCTGAAATGAGTCTGGTGGGCCAACCTCCCATTGTCTGGTGGGCCAACTTCCCACTGGTCATGCTTCCCAGCATCGGTCAGCCAAGCGAACTTGGCAAAGCTAGTGTGCTGCATGAGAGAAGAGGGTTTCTTTCTGCCATTGTCACCGTTATTTATTCTGGGCTTTCCCGCCCCCAACACTTGTCTATCAGATTTCAGCTGCCTCCCCAAACTCAGGACCAGCAGCTGGGCGCATCCTCTGTGCTGAGCTGACTTGGGGCGCTGTGGGCTAGCTGAGTCAGGCTCTAGGGAGCTGCTGGGCCTGAGTGGCCCTGGCTGGGTCACCATGGCCCTTTCCAGCCCTTTCGGGGTCTTATGCCCCCCTAACTCCCCTGTAACCATCGGGAGGGGACCAGGCCTTGCCTGTGGCCAAGAAGCCAGCCTGCAGAGGCTTTGCCAGTGTCCACCCGGCTCCCAGGAACAGTCCCCTTGTGAGCGGCATCCGTGTCATTGCTGTTGAACCCCAGCCGTGTGGTCCAAGCAGGGTTGAGTTGGGAGGGGGGGGAGGTGATAAGACCCTGAAAGGGGCTGGGAAGGAGGGCCCAAGACATCAGCTATACCTGTGTCCCCTTTCTCCTTTCCCTCTTGTCAATGGAGGTGTTAATTTTTCCATCATCACCATTTTTGCGAACTACCCTAAACACACAGAAAAATATGAAAACTCTACCACCCATACCTGCGTGCTGATCACCTGAGCGGCAGGTGTTCACGTCTCCCCGTCTTTGCCTCCGCTCTTTTTCTACAAAACCCCGTCACCCAGCCGAAGTCTCCCCGAATCGTCCCCTTTCACACTCTCCCTCCCTGTTCGCTCTCCCTGCCTCTCCTTCACGTGTGCCCTGCGCGCCCACACATGCATTTCCTCCCGCCCCGAGGCACGAGCTATAATTAGCTGTAATTACTCTGTCCACTTGGTGTTCCCTGTTTACAACGTGTGTGTGTGTGTGGGGGGGGTGGAGGGGTGTGTGTCTGTTTTGCCTGCTACCGCATGGCGGCCGCTGCCCGAGGCTGAGGAAATGCTGCCATTGCCGTGGAGGTGCCGGGCCCACCACAGAGCACGTGGGTGTGTCCCTCGAGGCCGCCATGACAGCACATCCTACAGCGGTTTCTCGGGTCATTTCCTTCCCAGCGACATCCCTGCTGCAGCGAGTGGGCTGGCAGCTGTGGGGGCCGGGAGACCAACCCCGCTTGGGCCACACGGCTGGGGCTCTGGCGCTCACCGGGGGACAGTGCTCCTGGGAGCCGGGTGGACACTGGCAAAGCCTCTGCAGCCTGAGGGCTGGCTTCTTGGCCACAGGCCAGGCCTGGCCCCCCCGATGGTGACAGGAGGTCACCCTGTAAGAGTTCGGCTTTGGGTTCCCGGGAGAGCAGGGCTCGGCAGGCGTGGCTGCACTTCCAGGGGCACCAGTTGCCGTGCCCGGCGATGTCTTGGCTGGCTCATTGCTCCCTCTGTCCCCAAGGAGGGTCCCTGAAAGTCCTGGAGGTGACACCTGCCATCCTCAGCCTCTTACCTGTGTGGTGGGGTCGTGGTGCTGCAGGGAGAGGAGCCAGCCAGGGAGGTGGGGCATCGGGGTGGGGGTGTCGAGGTGGTCCGGTCTCTGTGCGTCACTGCAGTCCCATCGGACGACACGTCGATGTCTCCGCTCACGGCAGCTGTCTCCCGGCTCCTTCCTCTCGGGCTTGTTTTCCAAACAATTTGCTTAATGTGATTCCCAGCCCAGTTGAACATGAGTAATCGTGTTTACCTTACGAGTGGGGCAATCCCGCGCCTCCTGGGGCAGGCGGGGCCCTCGGGGGGGAGGAAGGGCCTGGCTGTCCGATTAATTGCCCGCATCCTTCCTTCTGCTCCTGCAGAGAGGACAGCGCCCTGCCCTGGGTGGCAGCGATGGAGCCGCTGTTCGCCACCTCCAGGCCAGCCGGCTGGAATGCCTCGGCGGCCGCCGGCGGCACCGGTGACGGCGGGGAGAACGGGACGATGGCCGGGCCGGTGTCCTCGCCAGGGGCCCGTGCGGTGGTGGTGCCCGTGCTCTACCTGCTGGTGTGCGCGGTGGGGCTGGGGGGCAACGCGCTGGTCATCTACGTGGTGCTGCGCCATGCCAAGATGAAGACCGTCACCAACATCTACATCCTCAACCTGGCGGTGGCCGACGTGCTGCTCATGCTGGGGCTGCCCTTCCTGGCCACGCAGAACGCCGTCTCCTACTGGCCCTTCGGGCCCGTGCTGTGCCGCCTGGTGATGACGCTGGACGGCATCAACCAGTTCACCAGCATCTTCTGCCTGACCATCATGAGCGTGGACCGCTACCTGGCCGTGGTCCACCCCATCCGCTCCACGCAGTGGCGCCGCCCGCGGGTGGCCAGGCTGGCCAGCGCCGCGGTCTGGGCCTTCTCGCTGCTCATGTCGCTGCCCCTGGTGGTCTTCGCGGACATCCAGGAGGGCTGGGACACCTGCAACCTCAGCTGGCCGGAGCCCGTGGGCCTGTGGGGCGCCGTCTTCATCATCTACACGTCGGTCCTGGGCTTCTTCGGGCCGCTGCTGGTCATCTGCCTGTGCTACCTGCTCATCGTGGTGAAGGTGAAGGCGTCCGGCGTGCGGGTGGGCTCCGCCCGGCGGCGCTCGGAGCGCAAGGTGACCCGCATGGTGGTGGTGGTGGTGCTGGTGTTCGTGGGCTGCTGGCTGCCCTTCTTCATCATCAACATCGTCAACCTGGCCGTGGTCCTGCCCGCGGAGCCCGCCGCCGCCGGCGTCTACTTCTTCGTGGTCATCCTGTCCTACGCCAACAGCTGTGCCAACCCCGTGCTCTACGGCTTCCTCTCCGACAACTTCCGCCAGAGCTTCCGGAAGGTCCTGTGCTTCCGGAGGGGCGACGGCGCCGAGGACGCGGATGCCACAGAGCCACGGCCCGACAAGAGCAGCCGGCTGCAGGAGGCCACGCTGGCTGCATGCAGCTCGGAGGCCAACGGGCTCATGCAGACCAGTAGGCTGTGAGGGGAGCCGATGGGCCACGCCCGGTCTGGGGTTCCTGCTGGGCCAAGCCCTTCCCTGAGATTCGGGGACCTGCTGAGGTTGCTCCCCAGCAGCTTGAATACTCTCTGTGGTGTGAGGGCAGCTGTCTGGAAGGGGGCTGAGGCTGGTCCTGCCATGGCAAGCTGCCACTCCACCTGTCTGTTCTTGCTGGGCAAACTGGGGTTACGGGGCTTCAGGGGTGGGGTGGGTGGGAGAGGACCTGGGGTTCCAGGCAACAGTCAGGCCATCTCGGCCCTCTGGTCCTGCCCCGGCCTGTGTCAGCCTCCCAGGCCGGAGGATGGTCGTTAGTGTGACCGGGTGACCACCCTCCAGCCTCCACCCTCTTGTCAGCCCTGTGCCACCTGGTCAGCCACCTGGTCAGCGTCACGTGCTACACCCTGAAACTAAAGACTCCGATGTGCTGGCTTCTGGCCTGTACCCCCTGGCTCAGGCACCTGGGGGCTGGCTGACTTTGGACATGGCAGGTGTGAAGAACAGAAGCTGTGAATGGCCCAGGGCAGTGGCAAAGGGTGATGGATGCAGCTGGCCCACCTCTGCTGCTGCACTTCCCTTCCGCTGCCCACAGTCCCCAGGGGCAGCGAGGGGCGGAGCCATGGCTCCCATGGTGGGATTCGGTGGGGAAGGCACCAAGTGCAGAGGGAGAGGGAGGAGCCGAGGTGGGGGTGGACTGTCACCGCAGTTTCTGGGTTTGTGGGTGGGCGCACAGGTGTGCAGAGGGGCTCAGTGCAGGGGGCCTAGGTCGCTGGGAGGGGCTGTCCTGGGAGGGGCCAGTGAGGACAGGGAACCTATAGCTCTCTCTTCTGCTCACAGAGGGACTTTGGGCTGGAGAGGGAGGGGGATGAACGTAGAAGAGGAGAAATATCCAGACAGCAGCGGGGGGAGCGGCCTCGCAGTGCAAATAGCAGCCGGCCTAGAAAGGCTGTGTGGGCAGATGCAAATGCCAGCAAATGCCAGGCCCCTGAGGAATTCCGCACCCCCCAGACCAGAGTGGTCCCACCTGCCCTCCAGCAGTACCGGCAGTCCCCCTACTCCAGGCCCACACCTGGGGCCCATAGCTCACTGCCTGCGCCTCGCTGGGGTCCTGGTGCCGCTGGCCTCTCTCCAAGGCTGGAAGGCAAAGGACCAGGGCACAGGGCTGACTCCACCCGCGGACCCCCTGCCTGGGACAGCCCTGGCCGGTGCCACCTCACTTGAGCTTCTGTCTGCCCAAAGCAGGAACCCACCCTCAGGAGGGCACAAGGGGCAGGGGGAGCTGGGCCGGGCAGGGGAAGGCCAGTCAGCACGGCTGGACCCCGCTGATCCCAGACGGAGGCCAAACCCTGGAAACGTGGCGGTGTAAGGAGGGCGCTCGTGTTTGACAACCACTCTCCTGAATAAATTAGAGAATAAAGGCTTGACTCTTTCCCAGAGCAAATATTGTCCCCGGAGCCGAGAAGCCAATGCAAATCAGAGCTGGTGGACAGGAGGAGGCAGGACCGGCGTGGGCAAACACCAGCTAGAAGTGACCAGTGGGCACTTAGATGATGCCATAGTGGAAGGTGCAAACAATAGGTGTGAAAAGATGGGCCTTTGCGTTGGGCTGGGCAGGGGGAGGATCTGAGTTTGGCCTCTAAGGATGGGGGTGGGGGTCAGCTCCTTCTGTGGTTGTTGGGTTTGTGGACCAGGCTGCCTTGAGGGGCCCAGGCTGTCTCCACCACTCCTGGGCCCAGTTCCAAGGAGTGGGTGGCTCCTCCATGTGGGGTCCCAGAGGCTGGGATTGCAATCACTGGGCGCTGATGGCCAAACCCACCACCACCCACTCTAGGGGCCAGCATCCCAGGGAGGGGTGGGTGCCCCAGGAGAAACTGAGGCCAGCCCTACCTGCTGTCCCCACCCCAGGACCAGGCCTCCCTGGGATCAGAGTGACTCCGGGAGTGAGCAGATGGCTCGGAAATCTTGCCCAGATCAATTTCCCCTGATTGATTCAACTGCATGAGCTCCCTCCCCAAGGCCATGCCAGCCGAGGGTACCGTGTGGGGTGTACAGACGTCAGCAGCACCCTGACCTGTTCCTGCCTGTGAGGGGGGAGAGCGTGTGCCTGTATGTGTGTGTGTGTGTGTGTGTGTGTGGTGCCTGGGGCCTGATGGGCCCAGTGTCGGGGAGCCTGTGGGACGTTCCAGAGGATCCCGGGGAGCCTGTGGACACGGGTCTATGGGAGTGAGAAGAGGCTTGGCCAGTGTGGACAGCTGCAGAGGCCTGAGCGAGGGTGAGCCACTGAGCAGACGGGAATGAGGACCCTCCCCCTGGGCCTGCGAGGGCAGAGCAGGAGTGTCCCAAGAGAAGCCTGCGCCCAGGGAGCCAGGGGGAGCCCTGCTGCCCGCCCACACCCAGCACAGGCTGCGGACAGAGCCACCCCGCTTGCAGGTCCCGGCCCAGCCCTGAGCGGGGTGGGGGTGACCCAGAGCGATACCCTCTAGGAAGGGAGACCTGTTTTATGGGCTCTCTCTCTGCATCGATGGGTTTTATTGGCCAATGGGCTCCAGTGGCTTCCACAATGACCTTGCTCAGGAAATCCGGCCGCCTCTGGGGTGGGGCGCAAGGGCAGGAGGGCTCTGTTTGCCTGGCAGGGCTGGGCCCAGGGTGGGATGTGGTGCGATTGCAGGTGCTGGGTCCCCCCCATGAGGGAAGCCAAGGCCGCTCTGCCCTGTGATTAACTGAGGCTGCACTCCCGGCCCAGCCCCTGACAGCAGGAGCCATGTCGGGGTGCCCAGGTGAGGGGGTCCTGGGGCAGAACAACAGCGAAGGAAGGGGAGACATCGGGAAGGACTTGCCACGGAACCTGGGGCCACAGAGATCAGCAATGTCCTAACGACTGAATGATACGGAGAACAGGCTCTCCGCTGGCCACTGATCAGGGCTCCTGCAGAACCGTGGGTCCCAGGGCTGGATGGGGACGGAGCCCTGGAGAGACAGCTGGATCCATGACCCACCGCCCCTCCTCCACCCTGGCTGCTGGGGACAAGGGGCCCTCCCCAACCCCCCCCCCCCACCTCCTTTCCATCAATCCCAAGGGCACTGTCCTGCCTTGTGTAGACCGGCCGATGCCATCCCCCAGCTCCCAAGGGCTGGCCCAGCTACCACAGCTACCACAGCGTTGAAAGGTGTTTGTTGAATGAATAATTGATGTTGAATGATGGCGTCTCTGCCCAAGTGGGGACCTTACCATGAGGGTCCTAGACTTCCCAGGAGCCTGAGGGGGTGCCCCTCCCTGCCCCTGCCTGTCCTGGGACACTCATGCCAACTCAGGCAGCTTACTCCCCCTGTGCCAGGCCCTTCTTCTCCCCTCCTTCGGGCTATGTACCTGGCGATGAGGTGGCAGCTATACATTTGCCCGATTTGTGCTGATGGAGGTATGAGGGCATCATCTGGGCACCTGGATGGGTCCCCAAGTTGGGGGGACTGGGGCTCCACCTGAGCAAGCCTCCCTCCCAGCACCTCGGCCTTGGGGGAGGTCACCGGTTCTCTTCTGTGATATTTGCAAACACTTGATATTTGGGGGCGGGGTTATGGAGTGACTGCCAATGGGGTCGAGAGTTTCTTCGGGCATCGTGAGACTATTCTAGACATAGATACTAATAGAGCTGATGCTGTGAAAGTGCAAAATGCCATTAAATTGTTCACTTTAAAATGGTACCGTGTTTCCCCGAAAATAAGACATCCTCCGAAAATAAGACCTACTTACAGGTTTCCTTCTGAGTGAAATATCAATATAAGGCATCCCCCGAAAATAAGGCCCCACCAGGCTAAACATGAGAGATTTGGTCCACTGATTCTGAAAGAAATGGAGTCACAAGAAATTCACCAGGAAATTCAGGAATTGGATTGTTAGGATGATGTTCCAGAAGATGATGACATGATTGTCATTGAATAAATGAGTAAATTCTTGATACTGTAGGATTCATGGTTTGTCTGGTTTGTGTTGACAACTACCGTACTACCGTACCGTATACAGGTAATAAATTTCCTTTATTTTCATTTAACAATAAATGTGTACTGTATTCTTCTTCATGGAAAAATAAGACATCCCCTGAAAATAAGACCTAGCGCATCTTTGGGAGCAAAAATTAATATAAGACACTGTCTTATTTTCGGGAAAACAGGGTACATTTTGCCGAAACCGGTTTGGCTCAGTGGATAGAGCGTCAGCCTGTGGACTGAAAGGTCCCAGGTTCGATTCCGGCCAAGGGCATGTACATTGGTTGCGGGCACATCCCCGGTAGAGGGTGTGCAGGAGGCAGCTGGTCAATGTTTCTCTCTTATCGACATTTCTAGCTCTCTATCTCTCTCCCTTCCTCTCTGGAAAATCAATAAAATATATTTAAATAAATAAATAAATAATAAAATGGTACATTTTATTGTATGGATTTCACCTAGTTTTTTAAATGTTTGTTTTATTGGAATTCCACTAAATGGGTAAACCGAATATGGGTAAACTGGCTCCCAGACAGGATCCCATCTCTCAGGAGGCAGCCGGGCTGTCCCCGTAAACGCGTGTTTTCCCAGCTTTTTTCCCAGGCGCATGCACGTCATTCCTGATTCCCACAAACCACACGGTGGGGGCTGCCCGCTGGCTGTGCTGATTGGGGTCACTTCCTCCTCCTTCTTCTAAGTGGTCCGGGCAGCTGGGCCTCGCCGACCTTCGTGTCTCTGTGCTCAACCCAAGGGCGCCCTTCATCACTTCAAGAAGATGATGACCTTGACCCCTCCTGCCCCCAGCTCTTAGTCCTTTTTTATTTGTTTGTTTGTTTGTTTGTTTGTTTTGTAACAAATAAACCTAGAGGCCTTGGGGGTGAGGCAGGCACTGCCTTCTCGTCCTACACTCACGGGCAGAGTCCTCTGGCACGTCCCTAACAAGTACTGAGGCTCTCGATGGGGTCTCAGCCTCGCTCAGGACACACCCCTCTCCCCCCCCAGTCTCTGAGGACGTGGTCGCTTTGGAGCTTGGAGGTTGGCAGGTGCCCTTCCTCCCCTGACCTGCTCTGCCCTCCTATGTCAGCAGCGGGGAGCAGGGCCTGTCCCTCAATGCTCGACCCAGATGCCCCAATGTCTACCTGTCAGGGGGCTCTAACAGCCGGATTCACACCATGAGGGTAAAAGGAGTAGAGTGGCTGCCAGGTCTGAGCAGGGTGACCCTGCCTCTAGACCCCACCTCTGCCGCTCTGGGGCCCTGACAGAGGCCCTCAGAAGGCGGCTGGAGAGGACACAGGCTTCCTTTGGAGCTGGCAGACAGGGGCTTCCCGCCCGGCTCCTCCTGGCTAGGCTGGCCCCAACACACAGGGGTCTGGGGTTCCTGTCAGGGTGGGAGGGGAGTGCAGGTTCCAGGAGGGAGGCCTGGGGGAGGCAGGATCCTTCCACCCCCGCCTCCTCAGGCCCCCATTGCTGTTCAGCACCTTTATCTCACAGCAGAACCCTGTCTGCCACCCTGTCCCCCATTAGTACTCGCTCCTGATGTGCTCACAGGTTGCCCAGCACCCTGGGCGTTTCCGGCTCTTCCAGCCATAAAAGGACACAAAGTTCAGCCTGAGGCTCCACCCAAGTCCGTGCTCAGGGCCCCACAGCCCCCCGCAGCCCCCTCCTGTCAGTAGTGGGGCCATAGCTTCAGCAGTTCTGCTTCATCCTTGACTGTAAGATCCCCCCCTCCACACACACTGCCATCCCTACCCCCAACTTTGCTGTTGCCTGCCAAGCACCATGCAGAGTCTGACCCAGCCTTGGGTTCCCAGGCCAGGGGTCACCTCTGAGCCCCTTGCGGTGCTGGGCCTCCAGGCACAGGCACCTGTCTGTCCTGACCTCTTTATCTGTGGCTTTTCAAGGCAGGGTCCCATTTTGTCTGGACCCAGGACCCAGCACGGGGGCCTGGACTGGCACTAAGGGTCTGGAGTCACCGCCTTACCCAGGTCTGCTTCCTTATGGAGCTGTAGGGCCTGAATGTGGAGACCCCAGGACCCCTGCCCTCCTCGCCCCGTGTTGGCCTGAGATGGCAGTCCCCTAAGGTCAGACCCTAACAGCCCTCATGGGCTAGTCCATCTGTGGGCCGGAAGGGACACGTCGGGGCAGGTCCCTAGTGTGCTGGGAGGGGCCTGCTGCTCTGGAGGCTGCAGGCCCGAGCTTCTCAGGAGAGGGGAGGGGCTGCTGGCAGGGAGCCCCCACTTTCAGACAGGCTTTGCATGGACAGCAAAGGGGCCCCTCCTCTCGCTCATCCCCTGACCAGACTGCTCTTAGGGGGGACAGTGCAGCCCATAGAGTGCCAGCTTAGTGCCACATACCCCTGCCAGCCTCCATATTCCCACTTGTCCAGCTTTTGTGACCCTGTCCCTCCCTCAGCGCTCCGCCCAGTGGGTGGGAAGGTTCCTGGGGCAACCTCAGCTCGAGGTTGACATTCCTATGGGATAATGGAGCTCCATGGCGGCAGGGGAGGGCCACCATGTTCCCAGAGCAGGAACAGGAGGTGCCTGTTTAGAAAATGGATGAGGGGTCCCCACCCTCTTCTT